TGAACTCATTGACTGCTTCGAAGTTTTGGTCATTGATGATTAAATTTGTGTCAACATTTCCTGCTCTTGTGTTTGTGTTAGTCGCCATGAATTTGGTTTTATTTTGATTTATATGTAACCCCATTCGTTCTGCTGCTGCTACTAGCTCGGTTAGGATTTCCGCAGTTCTCGCCCTAGTTCTTGTTATAATGTCCACGTCGTCTGCATATGCTAGAATTTGGACTGATCTATTAAATATTGTTCCCCTGCTATCTAAATTAGCGTCTCGTACAACTTTTTCTAAGGCGACATTAAAAAGCTGACACGCCAGCGCGTCTCCCTGCCTTAACCCCCTATGTATTTGGAATGGGGTTGACGAGTCGTTTTGAATTTTTACTGCTGATAGCATCTTCGCCATTGTCACTTTTATCAAACATATTAGTTTTTTTGGAATTCCTAACTCATTCATAGCGTTGTAAAGACTTGGTCTTAAGACACTGTCATATGCCGCTTTAAAATCGACAAAAATATGATACATATCTATGTTAAACTCTTGCGCTTTTTCGAGGATCTGTCGTAGTGTAAAGATCTGGTTAATGGTTGAACGTCCAGGCCTGAATCCTGCCTGATATTCCCCTAGACACATTTCAGTATAAGGCTTTAATCTCTCGTGCAAAATATTTGATAATATCTTGTATGCTGTATTTAGGAGAGTTATTCCGCGGTAATTATTGCATTCCAGTTGGTTTCCCTTTTTGTGTAACGGGCAAATTAAGCCTAAGCTCCATTCTTCTGGCATTTGCTCCTCAGACCAAATTCTACAAACAATTTCTCGCATCACCTTGGTGAGCTGCTCTCCACCGTGCTTAAATAACTCTGCTGGGATGCCATCGCTACCTGGGGACCTATGGTTCCTTAGTTTTTCTATAGATATTTTTACTTCATCTACCGAGGGGGGTTCCACGAGTTCCTCATTTCGGTATTCCAGCTCTATATTGTTAGTAGGTTCCCCTTCCAGCAACTCTCGAAAGTGCTCTACCCATCGTAAAAGGATGTCCTCTTTGTTGGTAAGTAAGTTGCCTTCCTTATCATTACAATAGTTGATTCTTGGTTTGAATTCTTTTCTAATACTATTTATTTGATGGTAGAACTTTCTTGTTTCTCCGTGACTCATATGGCTTTCGAGCCGTTCTAACATGTCATTTTCCGAGTCTCGTTTCTTTTTTCGGTGTATGCGTTTTTCCTCTCTCCTTAAGTTTTTGTATCTATCTATTGTTGTTCTAGTTTTTCGTTGTTGCATGGTCCTAAATGCCTCGTTCTTCTCATCTGTTATTTTTTTGCAGTCTTGGTCGAACGAGTCGTTTCTTTCTTGGGTTCGGGATATTCCCAATGTGCTTTCGGCTGCTAATTTCAGAGCCTCCTTGCAGTTGTTCCACATTTCCGTGCTTGACTGGTCGACTGCCCAGGTGTGTTCTAGGGTTTCTTTTATATGTGACTGGAACTGTTTCTCTTTGTTTTCATTTTTTAACATATGTAAATTATATTTTACTTGTCTAGTGCCCCTTTCTTTCTTGGCATTGGAAATTCTTTGTCGTAACTTGGCCCTTACCATAAAATGATCTGAGTCAATATTTGCTCCTCTGTAACTTCTTACATCCATTAGGTTTGTAAAGTGCCTTCTGTCAATTATAACATGGTCGATTTGATTTGTGGTGTGTCCATTTGGTGATATCCAAGTGGCTTTATGAATATTCTTGTGATTAAAACATGTACTTCCCACAATTAAATCTTTGGAAGCTGCCAGACTAATAAGCCTTAAACCATTGTCATTAGTAACGTCGTGAAGGCTATGTTTACCAATATAATCTTGGTAGCATGTCTCTTTTCCTATCTGGGCGTTCATATCTCCAATGATTATTTTAATATCGTTTTTGGCACACTTGTCATATGCTCTTTCGAGATCTTCGTAAAATAGATCTTTAATTTCTTCGTCTTTTTCCTCGGTTGGCGCGTGCACGTTGATCAGGCATATGTTGAAAAATTTTCCTTTTATTCGAAGGATGCATAACCGATCATTTATGGCTTTAAAACCAATAATAAAATTTTTGATTCTCTTTGATACTAGGAACGCGGTTCCGAACTCATGTCGGTTCGGGTTGCAGCTGTAATATATATCATGTTCTTTTTTCTGCAAAATGCCGGTTCCTGTCCATCTCATCTCTTGAATGGCTGCAATGTCTATTCCATATTTTAGGAGTTGATCTTGCAGCAGCTTCAGTCCCGCTGTCCTATACAGCGTTCTTACATTCTAAGTACTGATCTTTAAATCATTGTCCTTAGTTCGGTGCGTGGGTCGTCGTCTTGAATTCAGTCCGGCTTTTCTATCTCGAGATTTCGTAACAATAGGTTTTTATGGGATGAGGGAGTTAGCCTCATGCCCAACCCCCTTTTCGGAGGACCATTTCTCCCTTCCTCGTCAGCCCTGACCCTACCTTCCACTGGGGTTGGTTACCCAGTCTCCAGTAGGGTTGCTCAGGTTTACCGGGGTTCACCCGTGTGATCCGGATCACACTTCTCGGAGGTGAGGATAGGAATTGAGTAGGAGAGGCTAGAGGTGTTATCTGGAAGCAACACCTTATGATGCGCATCACTACTCCATTAAAACCCCATGTTATGTCTATAATACTACAGATATACCATCTTAAATATACCTTAAGTTTAAAGCTATTTTTCTTCTGAACCGTTTATTGGATTTCGATGATTTTTTTTTATATTGATGATTATAGATATATTTCTAAAGAATTGCTTGATTAATGTTTTCTAAGAAATGTCAAAGTTTTACCCTTATACGGGGTGTAAAAATAGAGTTGTGTTTTTCATCTAATTTTGAAACACCCTGTGTAATTTATTATAAACAATCGCTACTTTTTATCAAAATTGCGGGATAGCTTATATTTTCTCTACATTTTTTTTCTACATAAATAACGTTTCGTTCATGATGCTATTTGCCAATCACCACACCTGCCAAAAATTGGTCCTTGTGTTCAAGGGTTCTCAATTTTACTCTCACCACATCTTTCTGCGAATCTGCTGTATAATATTTTTGTTTTTCTAATAACGCAGTGACTAAACTATATTTATTATAAAAATTGTCCATCTAAGTGGATGACCATGATTTAGCATATCACTTATTTGCATGACTAGAATCTCCCCATGTCCACTTTGCCCGTTTTACAGAAATAGTACTTGGCTGAGCAGTGATTACTGAGAACACTGTGAATACTCTACATTCAATTTTCGTACCAAAATGGATCAAAACTATTTGCTTTGGATTATTTTTTCAATAGGTTGCTTTTTAGTGTCCATTCTCTGACATCTTACACGATTAGCCTTTCTGGTTTATCTCAGAATGATTCTGGTTCGATCAAAAGGGTCTTTAGCAAGACTACCAGCAATTCCTTTACTTAGTTTTAGTATAAGTTGTATTACTCTCATTGATCGGTGTGCCGTCCCTGTCTACTTTTCCTTTTTGTTAATATTTTTTATAATGCATTTCAATTTTAAGTTTTTGTTGACAAATATTGCCTTAAAATACACTGGTTCTGCTAAAACATGTACGACTACGCCTTTGGTTTGCATATAAGCGAGGTCAAGACCTCTTTAACCCAAAAATTTGATCACAACAGCTGCGGTGAATTCCAAAACGAAATAGTGGAAATTAAGGAAATTTAAAATGATTTGTGTTAAGTGATAGTGTCGCCAAAAAGTCGAAGTCATTAATCTGGCGAAATGTCGTCACGGGGGGATCTTATTTATGAACCTAGTAGAAGGAGAAGAAAGTACAGAGTCCATGGGTGTAAAAGTTTGGATTATAGATGCTCTAGACAGTGGATGGTGCTTCTATCAATATCTAAGCTGGAAGATGTTCCAGGTAAGATAATTAGAATGGAAAACTATACCTGCAAATACATTTTTTAATCGTTTTGGGCATATTTTCTTGATGTTTTATAATTAATTTCTTGGCTTTGATTTCTATTCTTAAACAGGGACCATAAATAATTATGTTAACTTCAAACAATATAACAGATATGCCTCTTAATTATGATCACCATTGTAACTCATTTGATTAAAGTAAGTTTTACCAAAATTAAAGTCCAAAAAGGCAGACATGCTTAGTATGTCACATTCTAGAATCTTGAATGTCATTGTGACACAATTGACATTGTATGTCGTAGATGAGAGAGAGAGAGAGAGAGAGAGAGAGAGAGAGAGAGAGAGAGAGAGAGAGAGAGAGAGAGAGAGAGAGAGAAAGACAATGTACCTATTGTACTTTGTAGTTGTTACTCTCTAGCCCGTCTAGGACGTTCCTGAAGTGGATCTTTGAAAAGGACGGTTGAGTGGGTGTGCTATGCCAAGTCAACAAGACAAGATCAATTACAGCACAAAGTCTTGACATTCCATTGACTGCCAAAGACACATTGTTTTCATGAGAAAACAATGTGTCATTAGCTGTCTAATTTTCTTTTATTTTGAAAATGCAAGAGTGGCATTACAATCCTCACAACAATGTCTGATTAGTCTGATATAATGATAGGGAAATTGATTATAACGATTTATTCATACGTTGATATCTTCACAAATCACTCACTATGTTAGTATGATAGATGTGTGGAACCAAAGGTTTTAATAAGAGCTTACAGTTAATGTGACTTATTGCGGAGGCAAACTGAGTAGTTTCAGTAATGCAGCCAATATTTGGGACTAATAACATAATACAATAGCGACACTTCTCCAAGCTTACGGCCTAACATTGACTTATGAGTTGTGCCGGTATTGATGCTGAAAATAATGTATGTGTATTTTAACATTTACACTTATTCCTAGTCCAAAACCCGTGTTTTTTGAGTTGTGCCACTATTGCAGCTCATTAGCGATATGATTTATTTTTTTACCGCTTGCTGACTTCCATGTAGCTTTTTGAATGTTTTTATGGAGGCAATATATGGCAAACTAAAATGCAGTTGTACTGAAATATTTTTATTAAAATTAATATATTTCTTTTATTGTTAGTTTACGATATTTATAATAACGAATGTACATGTAAAAATAATAAACGTTCTGTTCTATATATTACACAAAAACAAACAAAAAGACAATTGCCACTGAGAATTTTTCCGGCATTACTTCATCGGTAAATCACCAGAGTTTGTGGGAGTAACCGCCTGGAGGAATCCTATGAGTTGATGGAGCTATATCGGAAGAATAACCTAATCCTAAAATAGGATTGCCGTCTGAAACAAAAATTAAAAATAAAAAATTCGATTTGAATGCGTCGTTAATGCTTACCGGTTCTTTTATTCCCTTTGTATTTGTATTCGTCGTTGGAACTCAGTCCCGTGCCTGTGAGAGGATTCCTAAGACAATGCGAAGGTCTCTTCACCTCGTGGTAACTATCCTTGTCTCTCATTTTATCTCTCGGCGAGATTTCACTCGGGTGAGGCTCAGCAACTTGTCCAAAAGGGTAGGGACTGTTACTGGGTATGTTTTGCACTTGGCGATAAACCTACAGGAACCATAAGTTGAATTATTAATTATAACAAGTGTATATACCGGGTGGTGAATCGTCAAACGGGCCATAGGAAACGGGAAATTTTAAATGGTTGAATTGCTGTAGAGGACTAAAATCTAAATTAAAAACAAATGTTAAAACCGTTCTACGAATCAAATGTACTTCAAAATTTTGCAAAAATATAATAGATTTTTCAGACCACCCCTAAAAGTTAGGCCACACGTAATACAAGAATATATAACGTGTGTGTTTTATCATATTGATGTCAGACTTTTGACAATTTGAATTGTCATTTTTTTGTTTTATGATTAAATTATAAACAATGAATTTTACTAAATACTACTACTACTGAACAATATTACTTTGTGAACAATAAATTATATTGTTTACAAATCGATAAATATAATGGAATGTACTCAGTTGACGAAAAATCGCATAATGTTGTATTCAGGCAATAGCGCGAACCTTTTCCTGTCACTACCGGATCTTTATTTAAAGTAAGATATTCTAATACACTAAAATTTAATTCCATGTTAAGTTAAGTTATACAACAATCCAATGAATTCCAATATACTGTTACTGTGATCTTTATTCCTAAAAATAATTTATGATAATTTCTAAACATAAAACTATAACAAATGTTATAATAAAACATGAATAAAACATTTTTATTATTGCTCTTTTCTCCTTAACTGAGTACATTTTTTAATCAACTTAATATTTTTTTAAACAATAAATCACAAAATAAAAATATTGGCCATTTAAATCATAGATAAATATAATATAGTTGATTTAAATATTGTCAAATATTAGAAACGTCAATATGACAAAACGCAACACGTAATACACATTTTTTTCACGACGTCTGGCCTGACTTTTAGAGGTGGCCTGAAAAATCTATTATATTTTAGCAAAATTTTGGAATACGTTTAAGTCGTAGAACAATTTTAACAATTGTTTTCGATACATATTTGAGTCCTCTACAAATAGTTTCCCATGACTTTTGGTGTAAAATAATTAGGGAAGCAGGAATTCAACAATTTAGAATTTCCCATTGAGTTTCCTATGGCCCGTTTGACGATTCACCACCCTGTATAAGATAGTGTACTAATCTTGGGTCAAAATTGTGGAGTGCCTTTTTTAAAGTGAAATTTCTAATGAACTATAACCCTCTATAGCGTGGCAAATTTGGTTATAACGAGAGAAAATAAGATTGAAAAACGTGTTTTTGGCCCGGCCATGGCTATAAATAAATACCCTTTTTAACTGCCGCCCGCAATAAACTTCTTCTGGTTAATCTACTATATATACTGTTAATCTGCTTAAGATAATGAAGAAGACATCGTTGATTGTCCTACAATCTAAGAAGCAACGAGAGCTGCTGTGAGCATATCCAGGTTTTACCAGTTCACATAGGCATCCACAACTACCAAAGAAGTAGCTCAGATTATTAAGAACACTACAGAAAAACTTTATTTTTCGGAAAGGGTTGCACAGAAGAAAATAACTGACTTTTTTCAGCATTGGGGAACTTTTTCATAAAAAATGCAAGTTTCATATACATGATATGTTTTATTACTTAATTTTTTTATCCTAAATGCAGCTGTAATAATGAATAATGCTTTAATAAAGTTTTTCCTCATTAAAATTTTATTTTTTTTACCTCATTTGTAACGTCACTCTGATATAGCGTCATTTTTTAACTAGACTATATGACACTATAACCAAGTTCCACTGTATAAGCATATAATGCTTCCCTGTACAGATTTACTGAAAGATCTTAAATCTTCACTATAATAATAACAAATGTACTTTACCTTTCGTGATGGTGAACCATTGACTGAAAATATGTAAGAGGATATCGTGTCTTCTTCCTTTAATGAAAAAATATCGCTGTGATTCTTGTCAATTTTTCCTGAGACATAAGCACTAGAAGCAGACCCCACTCGTTTCTTTTCTGCTGTTGCTTTTTGCGATTGCTTTAATGGTGTTACTGCTTGTACTTCGACTGGCTCTTTGAGAGAATTTTCTAACAGGTTGTCTTCTTTTTTGGACTTATCCTCCTTGGTAGGTGCTTCTTCCTATATGTAAACATAATCTATGGTAATAAAAGTTAAAATGGAAAATTAAAAGATATTTTCGATCATATTTTTTATTCTTCGGCATAGTGTTCTTTAATTTGATCAATATTTTGTCTGTTACATTTGAAATAGGTAAGCTACGAGAGGGGATATTATGATACATTCGCTTAAAATTATGTCTGAAAGAGCAGGATGACAAATTAAAACAATTATGACAAATCTCGTAATATAGCTATTGACAATAATACCATACAACAAATAGACACAAACAACTCTCTAGGACACGAGATCAAAATAAGCAGTCAACACGTAAAATACAAAAACGGATAGGCTCCAAATGTCTCAAGCGAAACCTTTTAAACAATGTGTTTTGTACGCACAATCTTATGGAGCAGAGACTTTAATGTTGATGCAAAAATATTATCCCTTTATTTGGATATTGAAAATAAGAAAACTCAAGGGAACGCATACACTCCTTCATTTTATTAATGACCACTCACTCCTTTACAGATCTTTGATTTTTTTTTCAATGAAGAGCTTTTAACAAATATTGTAAAGGAGACAGTTCGTTATGCTCTCCAAAAAGGTACTACTTTAGAATTTGCAGTAGACGAGTTAAAAGTGTTTATAGGGCTTTTACTAGTTAGTGGGTACAGCACGAATCCAAGAAGACACATGTACTGGGAAGAATCTGATGACGTTAAAAATATACTGATTTCAAGCTAACAATACACAAATCTTACCTTAATAACTGGCACGTCCTCTACGTTTTTGGGAGCTTTCTTGTCAAATACAGTTTTAATATTATCCGGCACGATGACTTTTTCGACGACTTCAGTGCTGTCTATTGAGTCTCTTGATAAAATTGTAATGTTGTCGACAGGTTCAGTGGGTTTAAGGTCTGGCAGACTGGGCTCGTTATCATTTTTCTTCTCGGTAATCTTTTCTTCATTGGATTCTTCCATGATACCTAAAAGTGTTTAGTTAGCGGCAACTGGAAACATCAGTATTGTACCAACTAATATAGAACATCAACTAAAGTTCTTAATAAATGGACTAAGAGGGCGTATTAGGTCTCTTATTACAGTAAAAACTTCCAATAGCGACCACCCTCGCGGAATCAAAAACTGGTCGGTAAAGAGGAGTGGTCATTTAAGAAAGAAAATAGGAAAATTAAAGCAACTGATCTGTATTTTACGTTGTTAATTTTTACATTTTAAATATATTATTAATTTCAATTTCAATGTTTAGTAATATAATGGTAATAATTATTAATTTGAAACATAAATGAACATAATGACATCAATTTAGAACAGGTTGCATATTTTTTTTTGGACAGACTATACGGTTACATTTTTATTTTTTAAAATAATCGCAAATTATTGATTGCTTCATACTTTTTAATTTATTTTTCAAAAATTCAGATTTAAATTTTATTTTTATAGTATTTTTCAGTATTTGCATTAATTTTACATGCTGTACTTTATCGAATGCCATTCCGAAGTCCACGAAACATGCAAATACATCTTTTCTTTGGTCTCGGCATTTTTGTAATAGGATGTTAAGCCCAAAAAGTGCCTCCCTGGTTTCCATAGCATTTCTTAAATCAAGTTGGGTATCTTCGAGATCTTCGCATTTGCGTCTAATTCTGTTGTGAAGTATTCTTAGAAGAGTGTGGCTCATTAGGCTAATTAATCGATATTCTGAGCATTTTCTCGCATTTTATTTTTTAGGTATTGCGACAAAGATGGATTTGAGCCAATCTGTGGAAATCACTCCGCTGTTATATATTGAATTTAAAGTCTTACTACGACTTTTATGATACCATACTCTATTAGTTTCAGTAACTCAGTTGGTGTATCATCTGGACCACAAGCTTTTCTAATTTTAGCATTATTTATAGCGTTTTCTACCTCGCATTTCATAATTTCTGGGCATAATTCTTTCTCGCATTTCAGTATAGTTTTGGTAGAACTCGGCAATATTATTCCTGTCATCTTCAAACGACTCTAGATATATACAGCTGCCATTATTTTCTTATTTCGTGCTCATTTACAATAATTTTGTTATTATTGTCAACGAGTACAGAGGGAACTAGTTTTTTAAATATGTTACACATTTCTTTTAGTTTTTTTGTGGACAGTACATGTCATGTTTAGATATTACATCCTCCATTTCGTGGCACGTTTCTCTCATCCATTTTTCTTTGGCTAATTTGATCTCCTTTTGTATTCTTCCCTGCAGGTGTCTATATTATGTTTTATTAGATTTTATCAGTCGACCTTGTTCCATTAATTTCAAGATATCGTTTGTCATCCATGTAGTTTTCTTGATTAAGTTTTTTCTATAATAATTGTTTGTGGAGATTTCGTTAACTTGGTTTTTAAATTTACTCCATAGTTCTTGTGGATCTTCTAATTGTTTTCTGATGTTTTTTATTTTATTGTTAAATTCTTATCAAATTATTTAATGTTATGTTTTATGTTTATATCGTCAAAGTTAAGTACATTGGTTTTTGATTTTTGTCGCTGAATTCGTTTTAACCTTAGTTAAATCTGTTACAAGTGATTGATGATTCGATCCAATACCTTCCCCAGGAAATGTAGTGACTTTTTTGATGACATTTCAGAAACGCTCATTTAGAAGTATATAGTCTATTTGATTTCTTGAACACTCAGGGTGTTTGCCATCATCAAAGTGTATAGTCGTCGCTTGGGTAGTTTATACCAGGTGTTTGTAATGATCATATCGTTTTCTTTACAAAATTGGATATTCTATACCATAATGGAATTATTGGCCGATGCCGCACTAAAAATTCACCCTGTATATACGTAAAATAATATATTAGAAACACTTCTAAAACTAAATACATTGAGATAACACTAGTAATTAATGTCTATCAAATTAATCATTAACAATTTAATCTGAAAACCAATTTGTCAATTAGATATTTCCAATTAGAAGAAACCATCTTATCATGAAGAATACATTTCGTTTTATGTACATTTACGTATGAATTAAGACCACATCCTACGACAATTCCATTCATAAAGACAACATGTATGTGGTTATCTAATCCGTATTAAGAAATAATATTTCCTGAATTACACAAAACACCGATAAACGGGACCACATAGATGTACTTAAATACACTGGTCATAACAAAATTGAGGTTATATATGACATTCATACTAGTTTTAGAAATAGTAATGTAGTAATAATATGAACGTAAGAGCGTGTCCCACAGTTGATAAGAAATAATCAGTTAATTTAACATGTAGATTCATTTGCGAAAATGTCAAAGCCAGAATAGATTTCTAAAAGAAGCCAAAGATATATGAATATCCACCTACCGTCAATAAATTGAGGAATGTGGAGCCAGATAATGTCACTTCCAACACTCACAAAAAAGGTTAAGAAAATGATCTTACAGCTTTTTAGAACTTTTTTGAAGTGGTGCTTATAAGCTTAAAATAACTTTTAGGGATTTCCGACCTCCGATAGGAAAAAGGAACCTAAGGAAGAAAGGTATCTCTACTCGCAGATGAGTTTCCTCGTCATTCGTTTGGTCGAATGAGTGGAAGTCGGTGTCCATCTCGAATACCGGAATGTACAGCATAAAATTAAATTTAAATATAAAAATAAGTACTTACAAGTTAAATCAGAACATACAAAAACTATCTCTGGTGATATTTACACATTGATTTATGAATAAACTTAAAAACTGTCATCTGGTATGTCAAACAAAATTGACTACTATCGAGAAAAGTCGCTGCTTCAACTATTTTGTGACGGGAGGTATTTTAGATCTGCTGAAGTTGGAAAAGCCTGTTTTGTTGTCGATTCTTATTTAGAGATACAGGTTTTTGATTTATAATTATCATAGGACAATTAATTTTAAGATCAACACAATTCCTAATTACTTTAGACGTACGAAAAGAACAAGGGAACTGAAAAGTGCTGATCTAAAGTATATTTGGCATTGAGAGAGAGAAAGAGTTCACAGGCAAGTGGTTGTCCAGGCGGTATCTGTTCCAAAACACCCTCATTTGGGTAAACCGTATATTATGATCCTATTTTTGCTTTAATCGTTACGAAATATTATTAGAAATGAAAATTTCACTACTTCACTTCACCACTTCAAAAGGAGGAATAAATTTTTATGTATATTTGTGAAAAAAATTAGAAAAATTAATTTTTTTTCTCGCCAGGACCTCCTTAAGGTCCGGCCTGGTACGGTCTTGAGAAGATTTAGCGCCTCCTTCCCATAAAAAAAAAAACATATCGGGATAATCATTCATCAAATTTAAAATGACTGTATTGCTTCTTCGTCCCACAGTAACCTTATTACTCTTTCCTTTATAAATTTCGGTTTCATACGTTTATCCATTTTCGTCACATAATTTTCAAAATTTCACACCATATGTTGAGGCCTTTCCTGGAATATACTGCCAAAACAGTAACCTCCCTCGAAATGGTACGATAGATACTACCTCTGCAGGAATCTTTAGTTGCTTTAAATTCTTAGTCAATGCATCTGTGAGAGGTTTTATTTTATAAAGACAATAATCTTTATTTGCCGTTTCATTGTCAGCGAAATGAATAAACTTTATTATGACCTGGAATCTTTTTCTACACGTAATATGGTGCACAAAACAATGCCGATACAGAAATTTTGGCGACCAGTAAACCTGGTATTTTTGGTAATTTATCTAGCCCCATATACCAGGGCTTCTCAAACTTATTCGTACTGTGACGCCCTTGGGACTTTGCTATTATTTTGCGACGCCCCCTCAACCCAACCTCCAATAATACTTACCAATTTTAGTACTAGCCTAGTAATAGGTTATAGTTATAACAAATACACTATTTGAACATTTATGATTTAATATAAGGTTGAATGTTCGAATAATTAAACTTTGAGGGTATACAAGGCAACTATCGAACACGGTGATTAATTTAATCTTGCCCACGTACTTTCGATCAATAGATCATCTTCAGGGGCATTTCGTCAGTTGTGGCCTATCCGACATGAGTAGAATGTCATAAATGTAAATTTGGACATAACAATACAAAATACAATACACAAAGACAAACAAACACTTCAAAATTTTTGAAAAGGAGAAGCTACATGTTGTATAGAAGCCGGAGACAGAATGGGCTCGCGGTCTGACTGGGAGCCCACTTTACAACATGTAGCTTCTCCTTTTCAAAAATTTTAAAGTGTTTGTTTTATGTTGTTATGTCCAAATTTACATTTATGACATTCTACTCATGTCGGGTAGGCCACAACTGACGAAATGCCCCTGAAGATGATCTATTGATCGAAAGTACTTGGGCAAGATTAAATTAAGTCCAAATGGTCATTTGCAGCTTCATTATCAATAGTGGACAGAAATTCTTTTATGCTGTCAAGTATTGGAGAGAATCTTTCAAGCACTAAAACTTTGCTAAGCTATCTCACGTTGTTATAAAGAATCAAATCGTCATTTTATAACGTAATTTGTAGATTTGATTATAATTGTACACTATAATTTTATTACTATATTTTGAATTTAACGGCGGTCCGCAAAGAACAAGCTCACGGACCGGATGCGGACCGTAAAATTCTTGAAAAACCTGGTATTGTAACTTGACCCAAATAAGGACCACTAATTTTAACAACAATGCGGTACATGAAAGTGAAAAGCTGAGGAAAAATTATAAAATATGGATGAAGAAAACTACAAAGATATTAAAACTGACGAAGTAAAAAACTAAAATGTTATGGAATTTTTTTTTAAATCATTCCCCTTTAAACTAAACAACCAATATCTCAAAAAATATGGACTGTACAAAAAATTCTTATAGTAGATTTTTTGCTTAGAATATGTTCCTTTATTGAAGAATAAGGTTATTATTTATAAAAATTTACAACCCCCAGAAGGGGTGGCATTCTCCCCTAGCCCTAGGGAAAAAGCATACATTGATACTGTATAAATTTTGTTTCTTGGGATGTCAAATAAAGTGTAGCTACACACAAATTTTCCAGTCGCATAATTTATACATAAATTTCAATTTCCTGTCAAGGACTTTTTTGTTTTGCTTAGATTTTAGATATCAAAGTCATTTTTTGAACCACTGATTACATTAACGGAATGTGACAATAATTATGGTGTCATCAACACTCTTAAATCTGTAAATATTTGAGTAAAACAATGTAACGAGCATTTCAAGGATATTTCGAGGCTGTGAATGTTATTATGAGAGATTTACCGACATCCTTTTTCTGTTGTAATTTTTCTATCAAATTATCATATATCTAAAATTAGCTGGACCGGTCATACCTACATTTAAACTTAAGTAACTGACATATTCATGACCATTATTATTGTTGTTTTTAAAATTGTAAATCTCTATTTTTACTCCCGATATAAAACGATTATGTCAGTGGATGTTTTACACAAATACTTAATTTTAAGTGAGTGTTGAAAAATGTGACAAAATTACATTAGCCAGATAATTATAACTTTGAGTTCCGAAAACGAGTTTTTAAAAATTATTTTATTTCGAAAATACAAATTTACAAATTATGTAGACAAAAGTTCTTAAACAAAAGTTAAACAAAAGTTATGAACAAAAACTATGAAGCAAAAGTTAAGTAGCAAAAGTTGAACAGAAGTTAAAACAGAAGTTATGAAGCAAAAGTTAAGTAGCAAAAGTTGAACAGAAGTTAAAACAGAAGTTATGAAGCAAAAGTTATCGTAATTGAAATGTCCCTCTATTTATAATATAGTATTGCGTAGTTTCTATTGTCCTACAATGTGCATATTCTGTGGAATCCAGTGGCGTAACTCCTCCCTCACTGAGTCCGAAAAATAATGGAATTATTTTTGGGATGCTGGTTTGTGGAATCTTCTTCAATGCCGGAATCTTCTTGTAATTCTATTTCATGCTCGTTCCGTTGTTTTGATCTTCTTTGTTTAATAATATATAGAATGATCAAAATTAGAATAACTGCTATGACTGAGGTGGTCACCAATGGAGTGGTATGTGAAGGAATATTTGTGTCTCTAATTGGTACTAACTGTTTGGCCATATTATTAATTGCATAAAGATTTTCAAAGTCAATTTTGGTAATGTTATGGCTCTGGAATTTTTGTATGTTTTCCGTAGAAAAATATTTTATTTTTGGTAAAATTAGAGCTTTTCCTCTATGAATTTTGATATTGTTATTGAATTTCAATTGGTTGATCATCACTTCACAATTTTCTGGTATACTGATGAGAGATGGACTGTGTACTTCAAAAATTTGGTCTCTCTTACACTTTGATTGGACTCGTTCTGATGTCGATGGCATTATCAATACTTCATTATTAGTTACTTGTTCGTGTTGTGGTTCTCTTGGATTATTATTTTTGTTTTGATAATTATTTGTGTATAGCTCTTCGGCTATAGTATCAGGAATTCGTCTAGGGAAATCATTTCTCCGATAATTATTGTATTTATTGGAATTTGATCTAGCGTTTGAATTTAATGTGTTTCTAGATGTTATTGACATAGGTTGTGGCCTGGGTAACCGATCATTAGGAATTCGGTTGGGCCTGAATACATTACTTTCTGGTCGGAAGTTTGTGGAACGATTCTGAGATGTAAAATGGTTCTGAGAATGTTGGGTAGCTAAAGAATTTTGGTTTTGATAACCTTGATTTCGATATGTAAAATTAGAATTGAAAGGGTTTTGATTTCGATATGTAAAATTAGGATTTGTTTGATATTGATGTGTGGGATTAAAATTTTGGGGACGATAATTGTTGCTAGGCTGAGTTGGCCTGTTAGATGGATTAAAGGAATTGTATGACTTAAAATTATGATTATTTTTTGGAAAATTATTACTAGAATGTCCATATAAATTTTCAAAATTTTGAAACTCGTCGACATATGCAATGGCATCTTCAAGAGAACTGGGTTTCTTAAGGTGCATATTATTTTTAAGAACACCTGTACATCCTGCAATAAAAGTGTTCAGTGCGATTTTATCACAATGGTTAATTTGGCATAATTTATCTGCATGCTCTATACTAGTATCATTACTTATTCTTTGGGCTACATTGCTTCTTAATAGTTGTATTCTTGTTCCAAAATTATGGAGTGTTTCATTTTTAAATGGTTTTGTTCGTGTTAGTTCTTGCATTAAGCAGTCTAAATCACGTCTATCTGCGAAACATTGTTCTAATGCTCTCTTTATACTATTCCAAGTCGTTAGTTCCATGCGGTTTCCTACTAGTGCTTCTGCTTTTCCAACTAGTTTGTCTTGTATGCACTCCAAAATGTGTTTATTTAAATCTGCATCGTTATATACAGAATATGTTTGTATTAGTTCGTTGCATCTTAAAATAAATTTGTTAAGAGTATTGGAATCTCCGTCATAGGGTTTAATATTTTTTAGTTTTGATTTGAGAAAATCCCAGTTAAGGGGAGTTTGAGTTTGTGTTTGAGTTTGAGTTGCAGTAGCCATATTTTCAAATAAAATTATTTGTCAAAATATCTCACAAAATTATATAGAAATATGTTTTATAAAAATAATATATATGCAATATAAATATTTGTCAAAGATTTAAAATAAATTATTCAATAAAAATAAATATTTTCAATAGCATAAATATGTATAAAAAAATGGATAAAAATTCTTATTCAGTTACAAAGTATTCTTATTCAAAAAAATTAAAAAGTATCAGTATTCTTATTCAAAAAAATTCAAAAATTAATCTATCTATCCTCACAAATATATG